TGTCGTGGTGTAGGCTAAGCCTCTGCCTGCATTGCCAGCATCCTCTATGGGCACCAGTTTGAATCTTGACCTCTTTACTTCCTAACCAGCTCTCTACTAATGTGCTTGGGAAAACACCAGATGACTCAGGTGCACCAGATACACCAGATGACTCACCCACATGGGAGACCCAGAAGAAGCTCCTGGCTCTTGGCTTTGGCTTGGCTCAGTCCTGGCTGTTGTGGCCATTTGGGGAGTGAAGCAGCGATGGAAGATTCTCTCTCTCCTTCCCTCTCTCTGTGTGAGACTTCACCTTTTAAATAAATAACATAAATGTTTAAGCAAAAAGAGGGAAGGGGGAAGTTCAACTGTAGGACACAGGTGGCAAATCCTGCTGCTGAGCTCCCGTCTTAGAGCTGTCGCTCACTTCCTGGTCTAAGTTCTCTCCCCTTTAAACTTGAATGGATGGAGTACATTTAGACTCCTGGGCTCCCAGCCAGCATTGCCCATGCACACCCACCTGGGCATGCATGATGACCCCTGCTTTGTGGGGACACTGCGGCATAAGTCATTAACCCCTACCCAATCCCCCCACTCAAAGGTAAAATGAGGAGGAAAATGAGCTCCTTGGTATGAAAATGCTCTGTGCTTTTGGAGAAAGAAGCCCGGCTGTATGAGGGAGGATGACGGTGGGCCTTGTAAGGCCCAGATGCCAGCGCCCCTCCTTCGCATAGCACGGGGTTAAGGCCCTTTGTCTTGGCATCTCCCTCCTTTACAGCAGCATCAACCCTAGCAATTTTAAGGGATACCCCAAGAGCCAAAGGCAACCGCTTAGGGCATAACTTGGAACTCTCCCGTAAAGATCCTCATGGGGCTATCCAGAGTCTGGGAAGGAGGTACCATGGTGCAGGGGGACGTGGCATAGATGACACCACCCAGTCCCTGCACTATGGAGTACTCTGGCACACAGACTGGAGAGTCTTCGCAGGTGGAATGGCCCTGTCCTTGTATTACTACCTTCTCAGTCACTGGCCAGAGGCAGGTGCACAGAAGAGCCTGATGCCAGCCACAAGGCCGAAGCCTAGGCCGGCAGGACCATCAGGCGGAGTAGGGACTCTTGCGATGGGGAGGCCCTTCACAAAGGCAGCCTTGGAGTCAGCCATGCACACATACCACTTAGTTGAGCACAGGACAAGCACCCGGCTCTAGTTAATCCCCTTCTGTGGCTTTGGGTCTGGGCTCAAATTCCAGCCTAACACATGAGCTGGCACAAGTGGAATCAGGAAGCAGCTTTCTGTAGTTTTGTTTGATCGCTAACTTGGCTCATGACTCAGTGATAATGGGAGTACAAATTCATTTCCCAGAAGTTTGGCTTTTGTCACATGTGAGGTAGGCAAAGTGGTTCATACCTCACAGGGCCTTGGGGACACATGCAGGGCCTGGTACTCTGCTTTAACAAGATTTAATAAATACACTGTAGTTCATATCCAATTTCCTGCCCTATATTTATTTATTATTTATTTTTATTTTTTTTTAAAAAAAACATTTATTTTGTGAAAAGCAGCATTTACAGAAAGAAAGAAAGAAGGGAGAGAAGAAAGAGAGAGAGATTTTACATCCATCGATTCATACTCCAAATGACCACAATGGCCAGAGCTAGGCCAACCTAAAGCCAGGAGTCTGAACTTCTACATGAGTGGAGGGGCATCAGCACTTGAACCAGCCTCTACAGCTTTCCCAGGCACATTAGCAGAGAGCTGGATCAGAAGTGAAGCAGCCAGGACTGAAAGTGGTACCCATAAGAGATGCTGGCTTTTACCCACCTCATCACCAGGCTGGCCCCTCTGCCCTTTCTCAATATAGGTATCTTCAGTTTGACCAGAAGTTACTCTGGAATGAGGTTCTACGAAAGCCTAAACCATATCATTGTAACCAATTTTAGGGCCCCCCCCAAATCAGAGGCTCCCTTTGAAGTAGCTTAGAGTTGTTTATTATTATTATTATTATTATTATTATTATTTTGTAGATTCTGGAGTTTGCTGCCTAGCACCAGTTCTATGTTCCAATTGAGTCTATTTCCCTCCTATATGAAAAGCTCATTCCAACTCATTTGTCCCCTAAGATGAAACATAAGCCTTTTGCCATTCCTGGAACATTAACTTGAACTTTACTTCAGATTCCTGGCCTTGGGCAAAGCCTAGCCATCCACAGGCCCAGGAGGTCTCCAGCAGACAGAACATAGAGTCCACTCATTTCCTCCGCTTCTTGCTCACCCATCTATCCCCCATCAGATGCCTTGGGAAGGAAGAAGGAAGGACAACATGTGTCCGAGAACCCTTTTTCAAGCATTTATCACATAGTCCTGTAAGCATTCAAAACATAAAAGTGGAGAAGGAGCTGGGTTCAGAGGGGCCTTGGAGTGGGTGGAGAGAAGACGAATCCAAATTGCACCTGTTTCCTGATCCACGCTGTCAGGTGCTTCATCCAAATGTGGTAAAGATCTGAGTGGACACTAGGCACAGTGGTTAGCTCATTGTCTGGATGCCAGCATCCTGTCTCAGAGCACCTAGGTCTGAGCCCCAGCTCCATCCTCAATTCCAGCTTCCTGGAGGTAATAGGTGATGGCTCATGTCTCTGGGTCCCTGCCACTCAAGTGGGAGACTGGATAAGTTCCTGGTTCTTCATCTTCGCCTGGGTCCCACTGTGGCGGGCAATTTGGAGAGTGAGCCAGTGGGTGGGAATGTTCCTTTCTGCCTATGAGTCTGTTTTCTTTTCAAAATAAATAGAAAGAAAGAAGGAAAGAAAGAAGGAAAGAAAGAAAGAAAGAAAGAAAGAAAGAAAGAAAGAAAGAAAGAAAGAAAGAAAGAAAGAAAGAAAGAAAGAAAGAAAGAAAGAAAGAAAGAAAGAAAGAAAGAAAGAAAGAAAGAAAGAAAGAAAGAAAGAAGAAAAGAAAAAAGGAAGGAAGAAAGGAAGAAAACAAGAATCAAATAACCTATGTTGAAAACCCAAAGGTAACACAGGGAAGACTGGGTTGGACAATTATCTCCGGGCTCTGCCCCCTCCACTGGGTTTCCATTTTAATATTTCCCCCCTTGCCAATGTCAGGATGCAGTTAGGGGACAGGTGTCCTCTGCTGGTGTCTTCACTTTTGTGCACCACTTTAATGTCTTCTCTCTTGTTGCAGCCTCACCACCTTGGGGTTGGCGTGAGGGTTTCCATCTATAACTAGCCTGGGTGAGGCTGTGATGTGTCTTGTGTGGCAGAGCTGGCCTCAAACTCAAATCCCATAAAGTCCCCTTGGATTCCTGGCTCCAGGTCAGCCCTTTGAGAACATGCTGTGTCTCTGGCCTTGTTTGCCCTGGGAAGTGGAAGCTTAGCTATGCTAGGTTGACAAGATGGCCAGCTCTTGCTTTGGCATAACCTGGGATGCTTTGGTGGGAAACTGATTCAGAGGAAAGTCATTAAACACACACATACACACACACATTACCTGTAGGGAGATGTGATGAGTAAGAACTGACATGAAAAACGACCCAGAAGGCCAAGTTGGACCATGATGTCCATGCATGCTGTCCTTTGTGAAAAGAGTCTTTTGCTGCTCTGTCCAGATTCCCAGTGCCTCCACGGACCCCCTCACCCACACAGAGGGGTGTCACATCACACCCTAGCACATGTGCATTCTAGCAGTGAGGGCCTACCTACAGGCTTGGGCTGTAATTGGACTTTTCACTTTGGAAGGCAACTGGTCACCAGGGTGGCAGGACCTCTAGTGCTCCGACCAATGTCCCCTGCTCCTTCTGGGACAAGGCTGGCTCTGGATGGGCACCTGGAAATGCTGAGTTCTCATCCTGGATGGGCCATGGAGCCTGGTAACCTGAGCTCAGCTCACGCTCAGGGAATGGAGTGTTGCAGCATCAGATGCAGTGGTCCGCTCTGGGGGCACAAAAGATCATGGAAGTTGCCATTGCTTTCCTCTGTGCAGCCACTCCAGCCACCCGCCTCCCACTTTCCTGCGGGGCACACCCTGTGAAAAGCCCCTGTCTCTTCTGGCTTGTGTCTGTATATTCCAGGAGGTCAAATGGTATGCCCTGAGCTAGGGACTAGGGAAGAAGGGTGGGCAGGGGCCAGGGATTCAATCCAAGTCTGGGACAGGGTGCTAGGCAACATCCAGCCACTTGAGCCATCAGTACTGCCTCCCAGGCTGTGCACTGGCAGTAAGCTGGAGCCCAGAGCAGAAGCAGGCAAGGAGCCTAGGCATTCTAACAAGCATCTGAGTATCTTAGCACCTGCACCTCAGTGACTCACTTCTCCCCCATGAACTGCCCTGGTGCCCTGCAACCCCACCTCTCATGCCACATTTCAACAGATGCTTTCTCAATGGCTTCGGGCTCCCCATCACTGACTCCGGAGCAGGCTCTGTCCCAGAAGGAATCTGCTGTGGGGCAGCGAGGGGCTACTGAGCTGCCATCAAAGCCCACCACCCCTTCCCAAGAGAGGCCTACAGTATCTTCTAGTTCTCACCTTCACCCCACACAGTACTCCCTTCTACTCCCCATTCACGTGGCCTCCAACTCGCTCCTTCTTGACCTCTCCTTCCTCTGAAATGACCAAGTGGCTCCTTCGGAAACCATTCAAGGGGTCTGGTGGGGCAGGGGCAGCAGGGCTGGGAAACCACACAGGCCCACTCGTTTCTGGGCTGTCTCTCCACTCCCGACGCCTCTGCTCACCTTCTGCCCCTTCCCCTCCCTCAACTACCTTCCCCCTGGGTTCAGGTAAGGAGGAGCAGGGCAATAGGTGTATCAGCATTCTCTTTCCTGGTGGGGAGAGGAGGGGTGGGAACTGAGGAACACTGGAGCAGAATGATTGGCACTGGGCCCCGCCTTCTTTTGTCCTCCTCCCCCAGCAGGTACTCACCCTGGCCCCTGTAGGGAAGCACACCTGTTGCTGGCCAGCAGCCGGAGGCAGCAGTGGGGCAGGACTCACCTCTGCCACTCGCTCGGCCGGCCGTGTCTGTGCTCTGCGCTGGGGAGCCATGACCGAGGCCCGCTGGCCCGGGGCCCCTGCGGTGCTCCTGAGCTGCTTGTGCACCTGCCTCCTTTGCACAACAGTCCTGGGTAAGTGATGGCCCTGGGCAGCATGGTGGGGGCAACAGGACACTGGCTTCCAGAGGCCCTCTGGAAAGCTGGGGCCTGAGAGAGAGAGAGGAGGGAATGGGCAGAATCAGGACAAGTGTGTATGGGGGGAGAATGAGGGAGAACTCTAGAAAGAAGAGAGCAGGCAGAGGTGCCCTGATTTAAACGAGCCCCCAGAACGGGGGTCCCCAGAATGGGGGCTGCCAAAGACGGGGCTTATTGTATGAAAAGAGAGGAGAGACGGGTAGGTAGAGCTGCTGGATGGTGAGAGAGCAGAGGATGGAGACTAGGAGGGAAAGATAAGAAAGGTGACAGGAATGGAAGAAAACCTGTAGAAACATGGAGGTAGAAGGACAAGGCAGGTGCGACGCCACTGAATCCAAGCCAAATGAACGGGCCACCGGGGTGGATGGCAGAAACAAGCAGTGGGAAAGCAGGGGCCCACGCAGGCGCGAGGCAGGCTGGCTTGGAGAGCCGTGGGGACAAGTGGACAGTGGACAGCAGCTTCAGTGCCCTGCGGGGTGGACTTCCTGTCCCTGGCTTTGGGCTGCAGTGTCCTCTCAGACAAATGCCATGAGGCAGGCCTCGTGGCTCAGGTGTTAGCCTCGGCCAGCAGTATGCTCAGAGCCAGAGTCAGGCTGGGAGACACAGGCCAGGCCTCTTCCTGCTGCCTCCCAGCTTTCCTTCTGGCTCAGGGCAGGTTTTGCATATCCCTGGAGGGCGGCGTCTGCGTCCTCTGGGAGGGTCTGGAGGACCTGGGGAGCATAGAGCACCCAGGAGCCCAAAGCAAAGTAAGAATAGTGGCTTCCCCTCCTCACCTCCGTGCATAGGGTGGCCAGGTGGTGTCACAGCCCAGGGATGGTCAGCTGGAACACAGGCCCCTCCAGGTGCTAAGCACTAAACTCAGAGCAACCAACGGTGAATGCCCCCTGCAGCCAACCCTTCCTGCCACACCCTGAGGGAGCAAAGGCAGGCAGACCTGGGCTGGCCAGTCTGTCCCGAGAAGGTGGAGGAAGAAACCTCTGTGGCAGTTAGGACTCCTGGGCTGCCATGAGCAGGCAGCTGGGATTCAGGAGTCAGCCAGGATTGGCCCTGGTACACCTCATCCTATTCGTCCTTTTGCAGGCTGGACTCCCCTGTGTTCAAAGCCAGGCAGCGAATGACTCCGAATTCTGACTTCTTAGGTTTCATCCTTTTGTGCATTAAAGTCAAGCCCCAAAGTATTAGAGGTCTCGAGCCTCTGTGCCAGGGCCATGGCACTCAAGAGGAGCTAGGAAGGGGGCAGCTGTGGCACCAGAGGGTGTGGTCTTGAGAGGCAGAGGAGGACCGAGGCCCAGGGAGAACCTGACGGAGTGCGAGTGTGGGTGAGGGGAGATAGGCAGGGCACGGGAGCTGAGAAACCTGGGCCATCTTGGAGGGGAAAAATATCTCCAGGATGGACAGGCAGTCCCACCCACCCAGGGCGGCCTCAGAGGCCTGCAGGCTACTCTGTGCCCCACAACACGGCTCTCTCTGGTGCCATGCCCGTATTTGTTTCACACTTGGCTGGCAGGACTCTTGCCCAGGCCTGGGTCACTGGCATCATAGCCTCCTCGGCCCTAAGCCAGAGGGAACAATCCCTGGGGCCTGGCCCCCACAGCAATTGCAGTGGCAAAGACTTCCTACTGTAAAAGAATGAATGGGATAGAGCAGGGGTAGTGGTGCAGTAGGGGCAGACTGGACCAAGGAGCCAATAGAAGCTTGCTGGTCCTGGTGGTTCCCAGAAGTGTGACTCAGAGTGTAAAACCTGGCAAACCTACTTCCATGCCCATGGTGGAGAAACCGGGTCGGAATAAGTCTTTGTGTCCTATAGCATTCATGGCTCACTAACCCAGGTCTCCCCCCCTCCCCATCCCACCCCCGACTCTGGCAGTGACCAGGAAGTTACGATAAGTGCAGAATGGGAGTAGGGAGTGGAGGAGGAGTCCCCCAGCCCCAGGGGACCCTAGTCTGCTGGACTAGGAGGGGCCTCCTCCACTTCACCCCACTCCCAGCAAGCCCCATCCCCAGGCCCACTTTGCTCATCAGGAACATGCAGAAGCAGAGGCTCCCAGGACAAGGGCACCTGCCAACATAATCGGCTGCCTTCATGAAGGCAGTGGCTCCATGGGCAGTTGGGTGCAGAGCCAGAGCATCAGATCTAAAGGCCTGGGTCCGGGTTGCCACCTGCCAGCCCAGGGGACAAGGGTGAAGGCCCATCAACTGTGAAGTCATGGGGTCTTACCTGGCAAAGTGGGCCAAATGGAAATGGGGTTTCTGCACAGGCTTGTCATGGGGGAGATCACTTGACACATGACCCTTGCTTGAGGGGGGACTGCCAGGGAGGCTGGGGAGAGGTGTGTTGCATGGTGAAGGGACCAGACTGAGATGGGATCTTCTGTTGGCATAAGGGTAGGTGTATTCAGTCAAGGATTGGCATGCTTTAAGAAGCCGCTCACATCCTTCCCACAGGTGAATGCATGCCCCACTTGGTTTACACAGAGCATGGCTGATGACAGGAACTGCCCTCCTCCACCATGTAGCCAGTGTCCATCGTGGGGCAGCAAGGGACGCTGCAGCTGACAGCTCTGTATCACGGTGGTTCCTGGCCAGGCAGTCTGGGCTTTGCTCCAAGGCACTGTGCGTGATCTGTTAGTGTTTGGCGTGCAAATGATTTGTGTTTTGGTCGCCAGTCAAGACGCCGATGGCCTTTTGTGCATTGATGCTGTGGCTTTCTGGCCGCAGTCTCTGGTTTCATGGCTCCTTGGAGTGACTCACACAGATGTTTCATGCAGCTCCTGAAACCATTTCTCTCAGGGCCAGGACCGGGACTCTACAGCCATCTCTTTTGCTACTTGTTCCCTAGTGTGGTCACTGATGACTCAGTCTCTGTCCCTGCCGCCAAGCAAAATAATGGGGATGAGGTCTTAGGGGGAGGGTAAGAGAACATTTTATCAGAGAGCGAAGTAAACTTATGGGGCACAAAGACTATCGGTTTGCTGGATGAGAGGGTACGGAGTCTTGTTAGGGGGCTACAAGGAAGAGGGTGTTGGTATGGCAGACTTCACAAAGAAGTTGCTGGGCTCTGGTGTCAGGCACCATTTCTCGTCATCAGATGGATGACAGTGGATTCCTCTTCTGATCGGTCAGTGATCTGAGAGGAGGCACTTATTTGCTGAGTTTCCAGGGCAGCACACAGCCTTCTACCAGCAAACTTGCAAATCAGTGTGGCTTCTGCTGCGGCAGCCTTTCACTCATTCACTTGCTAGTTAAACCCCATACTACATCTGGTATTCTTTAGGTTCACACTACGTGTACGTGTAGGAGAACCAGAGGTGGCCTGGTCTTCCAGAGCCACGATGTGCCCATCAGCTAACAAATTACTATTATAACTGCAGAGGTGTTCCTACTCCCCAAGGCAGTGAGTGCAGGATGTTATGAACTGGGGTGTGAGGCGGGGGCTTCCTTTAGGTTTGTGAACTCAGAAGGGAAGTGCTGCCCACATGCCCCAAGGCCCGCAGGCTGAAGAGGAGCCAGGGACAGGACATTCCAGTTAGGAAAAGGCGAAGTAAGAGCAGGTATGGGACGGAAGAGCGTGGCCTTAAGAAGATGCCTGATAGGCAGAGGTGCTTGGTCAGGCAAGGCCTTGCGCACTGTACGTGGGCTACGGATGTGAAATAACTGAAGTAGGCCCACAGCGAGGAGGGTTTAACTGCAGGAGTGATGTGATCATACCAGGTCTTGGGCAGGATTGTCCTGGAGGCTGTAAGGAAAATGGATCGGTAGGGGAGCAGGCTGTGTGTGGGCAGGTGAGTGAAGAGCCAGTGGCAGGCATGCAGGCGGCAGGTGCTTGTGGCTGGGTCTGGGGGCAGTGGCAGTGATGTGGGAAGGTAGAAAACTGCAAGCTGTGGGTCAGCTCTGAGGAGGAACTCGGACCCAGGCACAGCTGCCTCGTTGCCTTGGCCTGTGTCTCAGGACTGTAGATGAAGGCTAAGGGAACGGGGCGGGCAGAGTGACATCTGTCGGGTTAGGATTCTGAGCCGAGTGCTGCTCTTCCATGAGGGTATTGGAAATGTTATGTGTCATTATCCTAATTTACAGCCTCAGAGAGGAAATGAATTGGGGTCACACAGCACATGGTGTTCAGTCTGCAGCCCATGCTCTTACCCACGCCAGGGCCCCACCATAGCCTCTTGCTTCTTTCCCATGTCAGGTTCACAAAGAACCTAGTTAGGGCGTGTCAACAGCACTATGTCTGTCTGGCAGGAGTGGCAGCAAAAACAAACCAAGTCACTGTAATGCCCACAAAATCACTTTCCTACTTCCTTTTCTTCTTCCTCAAGCCACGGATGTCAGCTCAGTAATTGGGCTGATCTCAAAAAAGCCTAGATCTGTGACACCAGGGGGAATCATTTCGAGTCTGCCCATAATGGCTGGCTCTGAGACACAAGTTTATGTGTTCTTTATGTCTCAAATTGCACCAAGCAAAGCCTCTCAGTCAGGCATTTCTTCACCCTGGGCCTTGCCACGGGTCACCTGACCCCATTTCCTCTAGTGTCTAATGCGACAGGACCTGGATTATCCAGGTGATGGCCCCAGAAGCTTCCAGAACCAAGCCAAGAGATGCCAAACCCAGCCTTGGCCACAGTGCACCAGCCAAGCTCCAATGTTTGTGTTCCCTGACAACTTCCCCTCCTCAGAGGACATCTGATCCCCAACCTCCACCAATTCAGTTTTGGAGCCCGTCTCTCCTTGCTCCCACTTGAAGTAGGCAGACCCTCCAGATGCTGCCTTGTGGGAGCTCAGCTGCTGGTCAGGCTGTAGATGGCATGCTGGTCTCTCACCTCCTGGTCTGGGGACCCACTCAGTTAAAGGGGAAACCAGTGCCAGCTCAACCCCCAACCCCAGTTGAAGGCACCAGAGATCAAGAAATGAAAGACATGTGAGTTCATTCGCACAACAGA